CCTACCTACTACTACTCTCTCTCTCTCTCTCTCTCTCTCTCTCTCTCTATATATATATATATATATATATATATATATATATTTACACGATCTACAAACATGAGTGTTTGACAGCTTAATATACTCTCAGTACATCAATACGCAGCATTAAAATACAATCATATTGATCTATTGTTGTTGCTTTGCACTGCTTTGTACGTATACTGTATCATAAGATTACTAATATGATATGAAAACGACGACACTACGTACAGAACGGTTTACTTCTGTTTGTATTTCTTCGTAGCAATGATTGGCCCAACAGGAAGTGGAAAGTCAAGTTTCATCAGCATTGCTGAAAAAGTGATGATAGGTACGTATGAGCATTTACTCAGTTAAGGAAGTTAAGTGGCATAAACTTTAAAAGCCCCACAACAGCTAGCTTACATACATACATACAAACATGTACATTTACGCTCTGCTGGTTACTTATTGTTGTTTCATTTGAAACGCAGGTGAGGCTACTGCCATTACACAAAGCGATGGTAAGGAGGGTACTACTCTCCTGGAAGAGTACCTTACCGAGTTCAAGTTTCGACTGATCGACACAAGGGGCTTCTTTGATTTGGGCGAGGAGTGGTCTCAGGAGTTAAATAATATCCTAACAGGTATCAATTTGCTTTATCTATTTGAGGTCAGAAATGAGATGAATTGTCGAAGCGATACCCAAAACGGATTGGCAGTTGAGATGCACATGAAGAGAAAACTTATATACTAGTTCACACGTTTGTGCAAACCCAGGAAGAATCCGCAAAGGCCAGACGATTGGACGTAAAACAGATGACGCCGCTTTCGCTGTGGAACAACACATGCTTCCCGACGAGGCACCCTTCGGTGAGCAGATCCATGGTATCATCTGTGTGATGGAGGACAAGGACCCCAGGTTGGAGCAATACAAGACGAGGATGGATTCCATGAGGGATTACCTAAAGAAACAAGGTACTCTTCTTCCTACAGTGCAGTCTTCCCCAGAATTCAAATGACCACTTACCTAAGTCAAGTAACAAGATCGGTTGGTAAGGGGAAGGACGTTTTAGCTCTATAAAGAACATGCATGTAATGCCGTTTAACTGAGCTGTGAGTACCAATAAAATACTGACGGTTTATATCTACCCTCCATCCTTTTCATGTATTCAGGTTACAGCCCACTCGCCGCTCTAGCCTTTAAAGATGAGGGCGACTTCAAGGACGACGTCAAACGACGTGAAATCACAGAGGAGTGGTCTGCTGCAGTAGGCAGTCCTATAGACAAGTAGGTACCTGGGTATGATATATTTTGCTAACAATAAACAATATGCACTGGATTGATATATTTTACTGAGTTCATATTTCCTTTCAGTTTATTGAGCATTGAATGTGGGCTACACTCTCCTTTTGGGTTTGTTTCTTAAACTCCCGTATTTATCTTCCTTTAGAACGTTTCCTTTCATCAACCATCTGGCATCAGCAAGTAAAATCAATATAGATCCGGAGTCGGTGTTGAACGTGTTGGACATCCTGGACACCGCAGTGACCGCGGCTGAGAAATTCATCAAGGTTCGGCTGCAGCGTGAGAAGTACTCCAGAGAACGTCAGGCAAAAGGAAGTGGTACGTTTAGTGTACCAGTCCATCTGTGTGTCTCCCTCTTTTGCCTGTATTGTGCCCTTTAACCTCTTTAATGCCCATACTCGCAGTGAAAAGGCTATGAGTAATATCAAAGTTGTGTCACAGTTGTGTTAATATAACTATGCATATATCAAGATTAATGTGGAAATAATTTGCATAATTGATTACTAAATGTCCATATAAGATATTACCAAAGGATAGAACATACCCATATAAAGTACGTGTAATTTGAGTTGAGAAAACCATGATTAAAATAGATTATGCTATTTGCAACATTATTTCCATAACACGAGAAAAATCCAGAAAAATATTCACACTTTAAAGTTACATATACCTCATACCTATGTATGCTCCTGAGGGGAGAGATACTACAATCATGTTTCTGATCCTCGTTACATACATATCAATAAATAGATAAAGAAATATTTATTTTATTTTTTATTTATTTCATTTTAACACACCTGGGTAGCCCACTCAGCTTTGACAAGTTGATTTTCAGTGGGGCAGTCAGTTCAGTATAGAAATCGTTCTTAATGTATGCTATTGGTTTCCACAGGCCCCGAGTCCCAGTCAGTCAGTGACTTCGTTCAGAGCATCGGGAGGGCAAACAACTGGGACAAAAGTCGTACCGACGCACTGATCCAGATGCTGCAAGCCGAGGACATCTTTACTGTTAGCGCCCTTCGGGAGGGCTGGGGAGACATAAGCCCCAAGCTGACGATGGGGCAGAGGTCTGCCATAAAGCAAGCACTGTCTGAGTGATCCCCCCCCTCCCCCTCAAGCAAGTCTCCGTGTAGTAGGTTTGTGTGACAACGTCGTAGTATGCTAAGTGCATGCGATTTATATGTAAAAATGTCTGCAGGGTGTTGTATGCATTACTAGCGTGTATTTATCTTTTTCACCTCTTTTGCATCAGGTGGTAAGATCTTATATTCTGTGCTAAAATACAGCTAGGTAAGGTTTTATAGACGTTACAGTACCAAATGTTTGATTACTAAGCAACCATTTGAAGAGATATTAACATTTAAATCCCCAAAGCTGAGTTCACAAAGAACACAGCGCACGACTTTATGATTAATGTACACTTGATGGAACCAGAAGCATCAACATCTACCATATACATTGTACATGATCAACTTTTTTAACAAACACCAATATTGTACATTTAGCACAGTACAAAAGTTATTCTAAATGGGGTAAAATTATATAACTTGTTGCTTTCATCTAAAGAGGTTAGTTTGAATAAACTAGTGTTTCCTACTGATGTAGTGTCAGCTTTGTCTTATCGATGCATAAATATGCAGGCACGGTTGAAAAGAACTAGCACAATTAAGAAATGATCTGGGATGCGGTTACTCCCATTCAAATAAAACCTATAAATAGCTTGATATTCCGATACATTCAACATACTCGGAAGGTGTATGCTGTGGTAGATTGATGATAACTATTTTTACTTTTATTGGGGGGGGGGCTTTATGGTGTTGTAGGATGCTTCTATATGTTAAATGCACATAAATAAATGTCTTTGTCCGCAACTCGTATCTTTTTTATAACTTATGTTTAAAGTGGGATGGCAAGAACACGATATACTTACCAATAGAGGCCCTCAGAAAACATTAATTTTCCAAAAAATGATGTTTCTTTGAATTGTTTATCATTCAAGGTGAAAAATTAAGACAATATATTCACAGTCAGTAAATATTCACGATTGATATAGGGTTATTCTTGCAACCTTCCCCATCCTCAAGTATAATTCCACGATGTTGAATTGAACTTTAATGATGCCAACAAATAATAGACCAGAAGAAACAACGGATAGAAAACATTTATAAAAATGGTGTTACTCTGGATATTCGACCTTCTTTAACATCTCTAATCCGTCGCCAGTATCACATCATACATTGTACTTTGTCACGGTTGTAGGTCAGTCTTTCACTCGTATTTGGCATTAATAATTATGGCATTAATCAAGATAGGTTTGGAAAAAACTTCAGTTCCATTTATATTTACGCTTGTAACGCACCTTAGTCTGCATGTACAAATATATGCATATTACAAAGAGATATGCGATATTCTATTTATTCAAAATTGTGACACAACAATACGAGGTGTGCATTAGGTAATCTCCAAGCAGATCTTTTGGTGGAGGTAAGACAGTATCAAATTGGCCAGTCTATAACCATTTGGTGGTGGTAGCGACAAAAAAGGCCATATATAAAAAGCAAACAATCTTCCACCATCAACCTCTGCTTGGGGAGTACGCATTAGGCAGCGTGTATGCTGATAGTTTGCACACCAAGTACATATTACATGTAACATAGAAGCAATAAAAACAGTTAAAAGTAAGGTTTCCATAGTTCACGAAGGGTTGGGCTGGATGCTACCACAGTCCTCGTGTTGTGTGTTTGTTTCAAAGTTGTCAGCTGGAGACCCCTGGAGCAGGAGATGTGTGATTGGGTGTTGTTGACAAGGCGTTCAACTGTGGAGACAAGGTTGCGTGGTTCAGAATAGAGAGGGCAGTGTAACAGGTAGCTATAGTGCGATACTGTTGTTAGAGGGGGACCAGATTATGACTGAAATATGCGACACAAACCGGTGACAATATCAGGACTAAATGTAAAACCAGACACGCGGCACGTGTATGATGTATGTTCTGTCATATGCATAATTCATTGAGGCTTTGTATAACATGGCAATTATACGAAATGGCACCACTCGCATGTCAAAGAAATTTGTGCACTGAATGTGACATGTACAGCACGTGGTATACAAAGCCAGCTGACCTTGGGGCAACCGGCACAAAACACGACTTCATGACACAACAATTGATTTGTGAAATACTGTACATTGTATTCAATCAAAGGAAAAGGTAACGAATATCAGTTCAAAGAAATGACCATACCAAGACGCTAAAAGTCACAAATTGTTTTGCTCCACACATGTTCTTGCACAATTTGATCCTTCAAATATAGATTAAAGGACCTCGCTGAATATATACATTACTTTTGTTCTGCCTACTAGTAGTTTGATACAACACTAAAACAAATTTGAAAGAATAAACGTTTTCATTGTACAGGCGGTTTTGATCACATAAAAAAGGTATGAAATATAATAATGCATTAAACTAAAAGAAAATACAAAACAAGAAGTCATAGCCTTTCCTTGCCTCCTCTTTTCATATTTACTAGTATTCATCATCCTATATATAGTTCCAGATATATGTGACTGCTATACATGACCAGGACTTACCCATACATGTCTACGTGCCTGCAAATGTTTTCCCTAGGGAGGGTGGTTCAGTGACAATATTAGGATAAAAGGGAACCAAGCAGTCCTAGCACTTTTGTGGCATATCAATGTGGCATAATAATGTCTGAGAGTGTCTGACACCGTGTGCAAGACTAATGAAACGTCACAAAAATTAATGGGAAGCCAACACCAGTGGATAGGCTACATGTACGTGACGTTACGAAAGTGTAAAGGGAAAGTTCATTAGTTGATGTTTAAGGGTACGAAAAATACCGATGAGAACGCACGAAACACATGTATAGGTTTATAATACACAAAAATGATAAGGGTTTTCTTTAAAATTTACGGACATCATAACACGATTATCATTACCTTACTAATTACTTACTTATCAATACTTTCAAAATCGATAAACTCTGTAAAGTACATGTTTATCTGTAATTCTAAATAAATTTAAGGCAGTGGTAGTCGTAGAGGGTCCGTCAATAGACAAAAACTTAAAGATAAAAACTGCTTATGAAATCCCCGTTTGATAATATATGAAGACACAGTTTGCATTACTAACTGAGCACTTTCTATTTTCCCGGAGAAACATTGCAAACAAATAAGTTGAAGTAGAAGTTAAGGCACAGAGATTGTACTGTATGGGGTATGCAATATTCATTTTATGTCAAAATACATGTCTTTATAAGTACTTATCCACCTCTCGCTTGGTTATTTGACATTAAAATACAGACATAAAAATAGAAAGAAATAAAAGCAATCACAAGAATGAATCACCTTGGGTGATAATATCTGAATAATAAAATATCAGATGTTTCATACAGCATTCTTGACATATCAGCAACGCCATCTAGCTGTATTAAAACACATGACCAGCATATGCGAGCGATATTTTCGGGGCGGATATATTAGTGATAGTATAGGGGGAAATGTTAGTGAGATATAAACGAATATATAGATATAAATATAAACCTCTAATATGTAAGATAATATAAATTCAAGATACTGGTTTGAATCGTAGAGGACTAGAAGTAAACACATACTTTTTAGTGAAAAACAGACATTCATTTCAATGTACACGTGTTTTACAACATTTTCCTTCTTGCAATCGTGAATACATGATCATCAATCTTCCTTAAAACTAATGAAGGTGTCATTCATATTTTTCAAATCTATTGGTAAATGGCCTGTTAAATGGTACTATCAACATTAGAATACAGAAGGAAGTATTTTTCTTATATTCGCAGTAAGATATTTCCTTCCTACTATATTCCTATGTTTGATCAAAATAAGGAATATAAGGAATCTTTGAAGAGACTCTAATCAATCAACGTGTCTAAACACAAAAATAAAACAAGAAGCCATAGGCGACAATTCTCCGTGAAGTTTTATATATTTCAACAAAATCCCAAGCGTCAACGCCAGACCTACTGTGCAGACATTATAATTAGGCAACGGTTAATACCACGCTCGTCCCCAGCGCCCGTGGAGAAGCCATAGGTTATAGATCGTGGCTTAGCCCAGGCTATGGAAAATAAACTTTCTTTAATGCAAATCTGTCGTTTTTGTTTTCTTTGCGCTATCTAAAGGGTTAGGATAACCTACTCTACTCTGGCGGTATTGTCGTGCGCGCTCGCTAGTACGTAACGTTACACGGCGGCCATCTGAATACATGTACACTGCATTCTTTCTACTATCGGGACCTAAAACAAGACGCAAGATTCCTATTTTGGGGTATAAAATGCTGTCACAATGGTAATATATACCAAATGAAACGGACCTTTACAAAGTACCTCATTTGGTGACGCTATGAGGGTGTACCGTTATCCCTCTACATTTGCCCAGAAGGGAGTTAGTCGCGGAAGGAACTTAGCCACGGAGGGAGTTTTGGCATTCTCCGCCCGCGCCACAAACTCTCGTCCCCAGGACAGTTCACTCTGCTACCCAGCATGCTTTGCGCAAAATGCGTTCTCGGCCCCAGGACACAAATACACGCTAATGCTTCCGCACTGTGTTGCTCTGGGGACCCCGCCGCGCGCCCAGATGTGGATTTAATTATAGCGCGCTAGCGGACGCTGCGGAGGAGCGTGGGTTAATACAATGAGGGCGCGTCACAAGCATAAAACATACAAAGAGCTAAATCCATTACTGCTCCCAGGGCGTGTAAAGATACTGTGCTTCAAGTTCTAACTTCATTTTAATTACACACACACAATCATTGCATTCACATAAAGATCGGACTATCATGGTCGTGTCTAGTAACAA